TGTTGCACGAGAAACAAGCAAAGAGGGGCAGTTATAGACACTAAATTTGGTCCAAGCCCAGATCAATTGGGCTTGGTCCAAATATGGCAGAATGGCCCAATTTTAATTTTATTTATTTATTTGTATTTTTTGATTTTTATTTTTTAGTTTTAAATTGAGTTTAATTTTATATATAATTTTTCGTTTCCTTCTAAAAGATTGAGTGGTAGGATTGGACTAGGATTTAAGGATTGAATCCCAGTCAAATAAGAAAGATCAAAAACCTTTCTGATCAATGCCTATAAATATAGATTTAAACAGGATCACAGAGGACACGAAAAGAAGAAAACAAAAGCAAAAAACTCAAAGGTGTTATTAACAATCGTAAAAGCAATTTAGGAATTTTTTTCGAATTTTTTAGGTTTTTTTTTTGACAAAACTTGAATTTTTTGACATGTTTTTTCAGATTTCGGTGTGACCTTTCAAAATTTGATGAAAATTCAATCGAATTTTAGGTTCTATTCTAGAGAGAGGAGAAAGAAATGAGGAAAAGAGAGAGACGAAGAAAGAAAAATCTAAAGGAAGAATGGGTTTAAGCCTTTTATATCCTTACAAAACGACATTCTTTCAACGTTAATAAGACCCCAGGATCCGCGCATTTCAATTCGGGTGACCCGACCCATCGCGTTAACCCACTTCAACCCGCTTCACAGACCCTTCTACTGAGCAGAGCCAATTGCCCCCTAGTCGCGTTTGAGCTGTGGTTTCTGTCATAGTCGAGCAATCACAGTCGCAAGCGACCGTTTCATTTATTGGGATATTTTTAATTTTTAATTTTATTTTTAAAAAAATTTTATTTATTCTTTATTTATTTTAAGAATATTTTTACATGATTAATTTAATAAAAATAATATAAAAATAAAATATTTTGAGAATAAATATTAATTATCCAATATAGAATTATAAAATTTCAAATGATAAATTTTTATAAAATTTCCTAAGCTGAGAAATTTTGTCTAAATTTTATCCCAAATTGTGGAATAATTTTAGATAAAGTTTCAATAATATAATTAATATTTATTTCAAACAAAAAAATGAAAAAACTATAAAAATTATGGGAATTAAATACAAATACCCATGATTGAGATTCTTAGAAATTTCAAAGGCAAATTCCTAAAAAAATTTTAGGTGAGAAATTTCTTCTAATTTAGCCCAAAGTTGTGGAATAATTTTGATGAAAGTTTCAATAAAAGTAATTGTATTTTTTTTCCAAACAAAAATTTTGGTTGAAAATATGTGATAATTATCCAAGGATGAGATTATTAAAAACATCAAATGGCAAATTTCTAAGAAATCTCTAGGTGAGAAATTTCCTCTAAATTTGGCCCAAATTGTGGATTAATTTAGATAAAATTTTAATAAAAATAATTTTCATATTATTTTCTTTCCAAGAAAAAAAAGAGAATAAAAAGAATCTCTAAATAGGCTTAAATGGTGAAAATTTTAGAAATTCAAAAAGAGAAAATATTTCTAATTTGGCCTAAATGGTAGAATAATTAGATATATTTTCAATAAAAAATAAAGCTAACAAAAATCTTCCAATGACGGAGCCTCTTCAATATATCAAATGGGATTCTTGAATACTCTTAAGGTGAGGAAGTATTTTTTTAAAAGTTCTACTAAATTGATGGAGAATCTTAAAAATTATTTCTAATGTTTAACTTAAAATTTAAAATCATTAGACTCAAAACTATAGGATGAATTCAAAATAATATGGTACCACCCTTTGGATAGGCATGTGGGGGTGCTATAACTTTTCTCACATGTAACCAAACTCCTGAACCATGTTCTGATTAAAAGACACAAATTTATTCTTTTAAGGACCCTTAGTCAAGCTTAAGAACTCTTTAAGAAGATAGATTCTTTAGGTGGCCAATCACACCTAGTAAAAAAGATTGGTTGCGACTCTATTCATTTGTTAAGTCTAGCTATAGATTTATGGATCTATATGTTATGACAACAATAATATCATATTTGATTTCAAAAATTCAATTGACATTAGTGAGCTTGCTGATGACATTGATTCTTAAGACTAAGAATTGCCTCACAAGTTGCTAAAATGGGTAGAACAAGAGAAGAAACTTATAGAGCCTCATCAGGAAACTATAGATCTATTGAATTTAGGAGATGAGGAGAATAAAAAGACAGTCACGATTGGTTCATCATTGCCACCAATGAAAAAGCAAAAGTTAGTAGATTTGTTGAATGAATATGTAGACATATTTGCATGGTCTTATCAAGACATGCCCGATCTTAGTACAAATATTGTCGAGCATAAAATGTTTTTAAAATCAAAGTATTGACCTGTGCAATAAAAGTCGAGTCGCATAAAGCTGGAGATATTGTTAAAAATAAAAAAAAGTAAAAAAAAATTTGATGGAAGTTTTCTAAAAGTGGCTAAATACCCAAAATGGGTAGCCAATGTAGTCCTGGTTCTTAAAAAAGATAGAAATGTGAGGATGTGTAAGGATTATCAGGATTTAAATAAAACTAGCTTAAAATGCAATTTTCACTACCATATATTGACACTTTAGTGGATAATATTGTCAAGTATTCCATTTTTTTCATTCATGAATGGGTTCTTTAGATATATAATCAAATCAAGATGGTTCGAAAAAATATGGAAAAAATCACATTTGTGATGATATGAGGTACATTTTGTTACAAAGTTATGTCATTTGGACTTAAAAATGTTGGTGCCACGTATTAAAGAGCAATGGTCACCTTTTTTCATGACATGATGCATAGAGAGATAGAAGTATATGTGGATGATATGATAGCAAAGTCTAAGAAATGAGAAGATCATGTAGTTAACCTTAAAAAGTTCTTAGAAAGGCTACGAAAGCTCTAACTCAGGCTAAATCTAATCAAATGCATGTTTGGGGCTAAATCAGGAAAATTACTAGGATTTGTAATCGTGAAAAGAGTATTGAGGTAGACCCTAATAAAATTTAGGCCATTCAAAATTTAGCAGTGTCACATATGCAAAAGAAAGTGAGAAGCATTTTAGGGTGATTGAATTATATTCCTCGTTTTATATCCTAGCTCACTTCAAAGTGATCCAATCTTTAGGCTATTATGTAAAAATAATCATGGCAATTAGGATAAAGAATGTCAAGGTGCTTTTGAAAATATTAAAGAGTGTTTGATAAATACATCAATATTAGTGCCACCTATTATTGGAAGACTGCTAATTTTGTATTTAATGGTGTAAGAGAATTCAAGGGGTTACGTATTGGCGCAAAGAGATGAAACTAGCAAGAAAAAAAAAAGCCATTTACTACTTGAACAAAAAGTTCAAGGAATATGAGACTAAGTACTCCTAACTAAAAAAAATGTGTTGTCCATTAGTGTGGACTACTTGTAGGCTTAGGCAATATATGCTTTATCACATAACCTAACTTCTATCGAAATTGGATCCCTTCAAATACATGTTTGAAAAGCCATCCCTATCGAGTAGAATAGCTAGTTAGCAAGTTATGCTATCAGAGTATGATATTGTGTATGTGCCTCAAAAGTCTGTAAAAAAAAAGTGATAGTTGATTTTCTTACTGATAGGGCACAGACAATTATGAGCCCATAAGCCCGATTTCGTGGATGAAAATCTAATGACAATCTTATGGGATGGAAATGAAAAGCCTGTGAAAAAGTTGTGGATGTTTTTTTTTTTTTTTGATAAGGCATCTAACATAATGAGGCATGACATCAGGGTAGTATTAATATCTCCAAAAAAGAATTACTACCCTAGCACTGCAAGGTTGAATTTTAGTTGTACAAACAATGTAGCTAAATATGAAGCATGTGTCTTGGGATTACAAATGGCCATTGAAAAAAAAATTGATGAATTGAAGGTGTATGGGGATTCAGCTATGGTGATTTACCAATTAAAAGGTGAATATGAGACTAGGGACCCAAAGTTGGTGTTATACCTAAAGCATATAGCTGATTTGATTAAACAATTTAAGGAGATTCAGTTTCAACATGTTCATTGAAAAGAAAATCAAATTGCTAATGCATTGGCTACTTTGGCTACAATGTTCAAGATAAATGTCAATATGGGAACTCAACCAATTCTATTATAGATGCGAGATTCATTGACCTAATGTTCAAATGCAAAGCAAGAAATAGATTGTTGGCCCTGGTATTGTGAATATCCTGAGCATACTTCAAAGAATGATAAGAGGATTATTCGAAGATTAGCAGTAGAGTATGTGCTTGATAGAGAAATCTTATACAAGAATGGTCGAAATCAGGTACTATTGAAATGTATAAAGGCTGTGAAAGCTAAAAAAATTCCAATACAAATCCATAAAGAGATTTGTAAGACACATACTAACAGACACATGATGGCTAGACAAATAATGAGGGTAGGATATTATTGGACAGCATTGGAGAATGTTGCATCAATTATGCTAGGAAGTGCCATAAATATCACATCTATACAGATAAAGTTCATTATCCTTTAGTTTTGTTACATGTGTTAGCACCTTCATGGCCATTTTTTATGTAAAGAATGGATGTGATTTGGTCTATAACTCTAAAAGCTTCAAATGAGCATCAGTTTATCTTCATGGTGATTGATTATTTCACCAAGTGGGTAGAGGCAGCTTTTTATGCTAGTGTTTAACGATTAGTGGTGTGCAAATTTTTTTTAAAAAAAAAGAGATAATATACTAGTATGGTCACCTAAAAAAAATTATCCCTGACAACACTACCAACTTGAATAGTAAAATAATAAAAGACATATGTGCACAGTTTAAGATAAAACATCATCATTCAATGTCATATCACCCAAAAATGAATGGTGCAGTAGAGGTTGCAAATAAAAACATAAAGAAAATACTGAAAAAGATTACTAATATATATAGAGACTGGTATGAGAAATTACCCTTGCCTTGCTCACTCGTAAGACATTGGTCTGAACTTCAATTGGAGTTATCCCATTTTTCTTAGTTTACGAGATGGAAGCTGTGTTGCTTATTGAGGTAGAGATCCCTTTTCTCAGTGTACTAATAGAAGTAAATGAGGTAAATTGGGTTCGAGAACATTTTGAATAATTGAACCTTCTAGAAGAAAAGAGGCTTTAGGCACTCTGTCATGGGCAAATATACCAAAAAAATATGATACGAGTGCATGACAAGAAGTTACAACCCAAATGCTTTCATAAAGGAAAAATTATCTTAAAAATGATCTTGCCAAATCAACAAGATAGAAGGGAAAAGTGGGCACCTAATTAGGAAAGCCTATATGTGGTGAAAAAGCATTTTTGGGTGAACCTTTGATCTTAGCAAAAATGAATGGGGATGAATTGTCAGCTCTAATAAATTCTGATGTTAAAAAAAATTTTTCTTAGTTAAAAAATAAAAAAAGTAAAAAAAAAATCAATCAAAAAAGAAAAGAAGAAAAATTAAAAAAAAAATGATTCAGATTAAAAATTCAAAAAGGGTAGTCTAAAAAAAATGGTTTATTTAGATTGAAAATCAAAGAGGGCATTTCGAATCAAAATAAGGATCGTTTAAGCTAAAAAATTGAAAAAAAAAAAAAGACATAAATGAAAGTGAAGATAGAAGGAAACCCTTCAAGAAGAAAAAAGATGGCACACAACTGGGCAAATAGACATCAGAGTCAAAAGAGTTGACTTTTAGGGAAATTTTCATTACTTATAACCATGGGGCAAGGGATTAGTTATAAGAGTTTAAGTCTAGCAAAATCACTTATATAATGAATTTTCTAGAAAAGATCTAGTATGAGTTGATTTGGCTTGTCAAATGTTCATTATCTAAGTAAATGATATTTGATTTACTTAAATACTTTTTTAAAATTTCTAGTTCTTTGTATTTCAACAACCTTTTCTTTTTCTTTTTCTAAATTGAAATAAATCAACATTGGTTCAAACCTATATTCCATTTTGAATTTTGAAATCATTGCATTTATTATTAAAAATTGAGATAATTATTGATAATGCTCATAGCAAACCTGTGTATGGCTCAGGAAAACATGAATGCAAGACAATGCACAAAAAGGCAAAGAATTAATTGATTGGATGAGGGATGATCAAAGAAAAAAAATCTAGGGAAAACTTTCAGATAAGTAGTAGTCACAAAAAATATTTGTAAAATTTAATCCATCAAAAAGAAGAGAAAGAAACAAAAGGAAAGGTATTAAGGCAACCTTTAGGGTTTGAAAGAGCTGAGCTAATTTTAGACTCAAAATTGATATGGTCAAGAAACACATGGTGTAAACTATTGATTACATTTCTACCATTCAAAGCTCATTTGGTAATCACATATATTGCATAAATTTCTTCTGATAAATGATACTATAGGTTTTCATAAAAGGATATTAAGTGATATTAAAGTGTTTTTCCTCAAATTTTCCTTGTATTGAGAAAAAACTTTATTCTTTATTTCTCAACTATTGGTGTTGTCCCAATTATCTTATCTTTTTTATTGTTAGTGTTATCCCGGTTATCTTTATCTTTTTGACTATTAATGTTATCCTGATCATCTTATCTTTTTTATTGTTGGTGTTATCCTAATCATCTTTATCTTCTCGATGGTTGGTGTTATCTCAGTCATTTTATCCTTTCTATAGTTAGTGTTGTCCCTGTCATTTTTATCTTTTCGATCGTTGATGTTGTTTCGATCATCTAATCTTTTTTACCATTGGTGTTATCCCAGTCATCTTTATCTTTCTGATCAATGGTGTTGTTCTAGTCATCTTTATCTTTTCGATTGTTGATGTTATCTCGGTCATCTTTATCTTTTCTACCATTGGTGTTATCTCGGTCATCTTTATCTTTTCAACCAATGGTGTTGTCCTGATCATTTTTATCTTCCTTATCTTTTCGACCATTGGTGTTATCTTGATTATTTTTATCCTTTTGACTGTTGGTGTTGTCCCAATCATCTTTATCTTTTCAATTGTCGGTGTTGTCTCGATCATCTTTATCTTCCTAATCGTTGGGGTTATCGTGATCATCTTTACTTCTCGACAATTAGTGTTGTTCCGATCGTATTTATCTTCTCGACCACTAGTATTGTCCCTGTCATATTTTCCTCTCAACCGTTAATGTTGTCCTAGTCATTTTTATATTTTTGACTTACAATGTTGTCTTGATTATTTTTATTTTTTGACCTACGATGTTATGTTGGTCATATTTGTTTTTTCAATCATTGGTATTATTTCGATCATTTTTTTTTACCTGTAATGTTGTCCTGTCATTTTTATTTTTCTGTCCTGCATATTATATTGGTCATCTTTATTTATTGACTTACGATGTTGTCCTAGTCATATTTAGTTTTTGACCTACAATGTTGCATCGATCATCTTTATTTGTTTTCAACTTTTAGTGATATCCCAGTTGTTTTTATTTTTCAAAATAAAAAAATAAAAAAAAAAGGAATGGAACTAGGGTTTTTCTCTCACTTGGAAGCATCATCTGAACAAAATTATTATTTATGTCTTTGCATTATTTTGAGACATTATTTCTAATTTTTAAAATATACAAAGAGGACAGCTGTAGACACTAAATTTTATCTAGAATATTTTTTAACATGATGACACAAGCTCATTTATGATATCGGTCGAACTAGTAATATAGGACAATTGAATAAACCATTTAAAAAGACCATTTACAACCCATAAAAAACCCACAAATTAGCCCATTTAGAGATCCAAAGTCAACTCAGGTCAAATCTGATCAAACTTGGTCAATAGAGTTAAGATTAGTCAAACAAAGTCAAAATTACACAAAACTTGATCAAAATGGATAGAACTGAGTCAATTCTCAAAATTCATAACCTAATTGGAATCAATGTGGTTTAAAATTAAAATTGGTAATTTTTAAAACACTAAAAATTTTTATTACACTTGGGGAAGTACAAAATTACTAAAATACCTTTTAGGAGTATTTTTCATAATTTGACCTTTTCGAATTTAGATTTTCATGAAACTTTTGAAATCTCAATTTTAAAATATTTAATGATTTTCAATGCATTTGAAATCATAATAGTATCTCGAGAGATACGAAATTACCAAAATACCCCTTAGAGGTATTTTCATAATTTGGCCTTTTCGAGCCTAGATTTCATGAAACTTTTCACAATTTTATAATATTTCATGATTTTTGGGGTTTTAAAATTTTAAAAATAAACATAGGAACAATGATTTCTAAGGAAATGGTCCAAAAATTGAAAACTTTGTACTAAAGGTAAAATGATCTTTTCACATGGTTTAGGTGCTAATCCAACCTTTGAAGTAAAGAATGTGGACCGGTGGATCTCTTATTGAATCTTGATCCAATGGCTAAAGTTTATTCATTGAAACAAAAAAAGGAAGAATTTTAGCCCTTGGATGAGATTTGATCCAAGGGCTTATATTCATAAAAAAAAAAAAAAGATTATAAAAGTCTTCTTATTTACAAATCGAGGAGGTCAGTTGGTCACGAAAAAAATGAAAAGGAAGGAGCTAAAAAAAAGAAAGAGAGATCATTAAAAAAAAGATAAAACACAAAAAAAAAAAACCTAGTGTAAAAAGGAAAGGAAAACCTCAACAATAAATGAGGAGATTTGCTTGAAATCAAAGATAGCCAAAACTTTAAGAAAACCAAAAAGGTAGCTTCTTTGATCCTCTTTCAAGCTCATAATTACTTTCATGTTTACATTAGCTTGGTTGTTCCTTTTCACATAATGTTTGGGGTATGAAAATAATGTTTGTTTTTTTTTTTAAGAAATAAAAGCTTACTGTTTCAATTTTTAAAAAATAATAAAATAAAAAAATAATTTTTTTTTTATCATTGCAAATGGCTTAATTCCAACCTTTTTCACGATCATGAAAGCTTCATCCTTCATGCATTTAAAATCACCAGTAAATGAAAGAAAGAAAAAGTTTTAGGAGTCTAAAGGTTTTTTTTTTTTTTTTACTTTTTTTTTGTCTCTCCATAAGGCTTCAAAGCTTCATCATCAATCTATGATATATGATTTTTTTGCGTGCTTAGTTAGATTTTAGCATGTAATATGCCCATGGAAGTTTAAAGTTTATTTTTTTCCATGTATACTGGCTTTACCTCTTTTGCATGAGGGTTTCTTGGTTCATAAAGCTTCAAAACTTCATCCTCAATCTATATTACCTGGTATATGATATTTTTTGCATGCTTAGTTCATTTTCAGCATGCAATATGCCCGTGGAAGTGTAAAGTTTCTTCCTTTCCATGTGTATTGGCTCAACCTCTTTTGCATGCAGGTTTGTTTATTAATGGGGATAAGAAATCATTTCCATTGAGTTCAAACCCATTCTTTGACGCAAGTGTGTTAGTTTGATCGAACTAGTGTCCAATCTTTTTGCTATGTTCATTTTTGATTTAATGATTGGAATATCAATATAGTGTTTGATCTAGCTTTAGTCAGTATTTTGCATGGTTTTTTTTAAGAGGATGAAAGGGAAATGGCAGCTATGGCTTTAAACCCCCCCCCCCCCAATGAATAATAAATAAAAAATAAAAAAAAGCCAACAAGGAAAAGAAAATTAGGCTTTGTTGAAATAAGTAGAGGCTAAAAATATATTAAACAGAGAAAGCCATATGAAGAAGAAAACAAAGCTTTCTATAAAAGACATGGGGACCATGGTGATAAAGCAATTGGATTTTATGTTTTCCTTTTGGCTTGATATGATTATATTAATAAAAAGTAGGGTGGTAATTTTGAAAACCCCTTTAGTTGGAATCTTGTGATAAATAAAATTCTAAAATATACAACTTAAAGTTTGTTTCTAATAAAGTTTATTTGCGTGTTTAATTTTAATTATACCTATGCAATTTTTTTTTATGATTGTTTAAATTTAATTGTAAATTTAATTTTATGCATTACTAATTCTCTTATTGTTTGGATTCTCATGCTCGTTTTAATTTAATCTTTCATACTTAAATTTATATTTGGTATTTTTTTCGTGCACTTTAAATTTATGCATAATAATAATAATACTAATGTCAAGAATAATAGTAATAATAATTTTAAAGAAAGAAGAAATATATGTGAAATATGTAAGAATATAAAATTCATTTTTAGAATAATTATAAAAACAAGCTTGCTCCGAAAATCTGCCTAGATGTTAAAAACTTTTAGAAAGGTTCATGAATTCTTAAAATTTAAACCCAAACCTATCCAAAATCCCAAACTTGTTTTAAATTTCTAAAGATTTGCATGAAAATTTATAAAATAATTATTAAAACAAATGTTGGGTATTCAAGAAATTTTATTTTATTAAGATTAATCACAACAGAATAAATAGTTAACAACAATATAACAATATAGAATAAGGATTTTAAAATAAAATCCATCCAAACTTGCTTTGTTAACGTCAGGCATCTCTTTATATATTAAATTCGATTTTAAATTCATATTTGATATCATTGAATATATTTCACTTTAGATTAATGGTTCATTTAAATTATATATTATATTTTGCCTAGTTAAAGTTTAATAAGTTATATTATGATTTCTTTTTTTTTATAACATAAAAAGTTTTTTTTTTAATTTTTAGTTTTGAAACAAATGAAATTAAATAGCATTTTGTGAAAGATAATTATTGGTACTATGCCTAGATGTTGAAGAGTCATCAATAATTACTATTTACAAAGATTATTATTATTATATTAGTTTAGAATGAATGTTATGATAAATCTTAAATTAAAAGACTATCTTTAAATTCTGCCCTTATGTTAGGGACTTTGAAGGTATTCCTTTACTTTGAAGATTTTCATAATATTTCTAAATAAAGATTTTTTAAAAAAACTAATTTCATTTATTAAAAAATGAAAGGAATTATAATTGAATTTTTTATAAAAACCATTTTTGTCCAAAATTATAAATACTGCATAATTAATTGGTACTAATTTTGTACGTATTGTGGGGGTGCAAATCCTTCACACACATAACCGATTTCTGAACTCAATCTATTTTCATATACCAAAATTATTTTTTAATAAAGCTTTAAACATGTTTTATTATTTTATTAAAAGATAAAATTTTTGGATGGCTAATCACACCCTAAAGAAGATAAATGATGGCTTCCTGTGTTTTTCATGATTTTTAAATTTTGACATTCGACGATCGAGTCTCTGGATCGATATGTTATAACGAGGTTATAGTAGTTTTGTCTTTTTCCCACAAGCATGGTGGCCATGCAATGCAATCTAGACCCTTAGATCTAAGTTCATTTTGAAGCAAAGGCTATGAAGAAATACAGCACACATTTTGACACTTAGTGCAGTTGTCCCTATAAGAAAAGATAAATTTACGCTTTGTGTGATTAAGGCCTTGTTTTATGAATTTCCTTAAACACTATGCTCCACTAAATGATTTTCATGATTTTATTACACTATAATTCATATAATAATATTTACTTATGATCTAAAACTCTTGACAAAAATAACCATAAAAAAGTGAAATTGCAAAAAAGCTCTAAAGGGCAGTTTTATATTTTTACGCCTTTTGAGGTGCAATCATGACTTTTATTGAACCAAGAAACATAAAATAATATCTAATTATGATTTAGAACTTTTCATGAAGAACTGATTCTAAAAAGGTTAAATTATGAAAATATCCTAAAGGATATTTTTTATAATTTCACTTTTTTTTATCCATCAAGATTTTTGTTTCAGAATCCAAATCATAATTTTATTAATATTAAGCCTTAATAATCCTAGTCAATTGCAAATTCTAAGGGTTGACCCAAGTTTAACCAAGTTTGGCTAAGGCATTTTGGTCATTTCAACTTAAAATTCCTTTTTTCCATGGTTTTCTTTCTAAACATCAAGCTTTGACAACACTTGACTAGATAAGTGAATTTGACCAATTTGGACAAATTTGACCACACTCACATCAAGAGTATTTTGGTCAAAATGTTCATTTTTGCTCAAAACTCAAGATTTACTTTAAAATCTTTAAGGATCTGATGACTTGATTCAATTATCACAAAATGACCAAAATAGGACCTAGTTTTAACCAAATTCAATCAAATTTGAACAAGTTAGACTAAGTTAATTTTTAAGTTGACATTTGACTTTTTTTTTTTATTTTTCCTACTTTTCTTATATCAACCTAAGAATCAATTTATTCAAAAATCATGAAATTTTTGTAAAGTCTAAAAATATTGTAAAACACTCAAGTCTCGATTTTTAAAGTATTACAATTGACTAAAACATATTCGAACAAAATTAGGTATTTACAGGTGGTGGTGTATGAGAAGGAGTAGGTAGAGGAGTAGGAGGTTGACTAGGTGGTGGAAGTGGCCTTATTGGTGGTGCAAGAGTTGGATTAGGTGGAGGTGGCCTTGTTGGTGGAGCAAGAGGTGAGCTATGTGGTAGCCACAAGCTTGGTAGAGGTGCAGGAGGTGGATTAAGTGGTGGTGGTGACCATAGGCTTGGTGGAGGTGCTAGAAGGGGATTAGGTGGTGGGCTTGGTGGAAGTGGTGGCATTGGTACCGGTGGTGGAATTGGTGGTGGAAGTGGTTTTGGAGGTGGAATGCTCTATGGTAGTGGTGGAGGCCCAGTAAGTGGTGTTGGAGGTGGTGCAGGTGGTGGTTTTGGAGGTAGTGCAGGAGGTGGTGAAGGCCTTAGTGGTGGTGGTGCTGGAGGTGGATGAGGGTTTGGTGGTGGTGGTGGAGTTGGTTGAGTTAAGGGTTGGAGCCGGTGGCAGATTTAGCAAAGGTGGAGGTGTAGGTGGTGGACTTAAGGGTGGTGTAGGTGGCAGCTTTGGTGTTCATGGGGATGCTGGATTTGGTGGTGGCGGCGGTGGTGGTGGACACTAATAGTACTCAGTGCATGAACAAATTACTAAGTACTAATAAAAAAGCCTAATAATTTCATTACAAATATCCATAGTTGGCTGTTTATGAATTTTTTTTCTTTTCCTTGCTTTTGTTTAATCAAATGCTAAATTAGAGATTAATTCCTAGGATCATTGCCTCAATGAAACTTCTTCTTCTGTCATTGATGCTTATAGGATCGATCATATATATACTAATTGAGTTTGTAAAATCTATTAATTGTCTTATTTCTTCATACATGCATGCATATGAGAATAATTTGTAAGATTGTAATCTATTACCTTCAAATAAAAATTTACTAATCTAGTTTTCTTTGTGTCTAAACATTAATTGCTTAATTGCATATTAATGATAATTTTGAGAATATAAAGATTATTCAAGGAAATTATCAGGTTCAGTTTTGTTCAATTCTAAAATGACATAGTAAAAATATTTTTTTTATCGATCATCTAAATGAAGTACATGTAATCAAATGCCACCCACCTGTGGATACGCAATGGCAAATATAAAGATAAAGAATTCAGAGGCATGGCATTGGCATGCGATCTGGATAATATCCTTAGCCCTGCATGCTGCTGCAATGAAGCAATTGAACCTGGTCACATTTATTTTTTTAGAAAATGGACTACACTGGCCGTCTAGCTACCATATTTAGTGCTTTAATTTACTTGACAAGTATAGTAGAATCAGTTTTGATCTCCGGGTTCAAGTCACTCATTTTCCAAATTAAATAAATGCTGACATTAATAGTCATAAAGCATAATGTTGCAGTCAACTTGGGTTTAAACTTCTTGAAAAACCACAACTAAATAATAGAGCGTTTCCGGTTTCCTTCTCTCTGTGACAAAATAAACAACATTCATCCACTGATTATCCCCAAGATGCATGTCTGTCTTTGGTAGAATATCTGTTAAGAACTGCCATCCAAGAGATCACGTACAGAATACTTTGGTATCTAATACTAAAATCAAAGTAATCTATATATGGCGCCATTCAACCTCCACTCGCTGCACTGCATCAACTGAGTAACAAGTAACAACCTCTAGGAAATGGCCAAACATCTACTCCATTATTTTGCTTCATGCAATGCTGAGCCAACTGTCTTAATTGTATCCACATTTTATTCCAATTGATTCAGTCATTTTTTAAATTTATATATAATAGATTTGACATTCAAATTTTATTATTTACGATTACTTCTCTAATTACAATCTCTTTTATATACAACAACAACAACAAAAAACTAAATTTTATATCTCATAACTTTAAGGTCGATTATATAAAAGGCCAAAAAAAAAAAATCATGTTAGGTTGCAGTTTTAAATATTCTTGTGTCACTCATTTATATAAAAAATATATATATTTTTTCATCTATTTCCTTATCCTCGTATCATTTCTTATTTTCAATCCACATTTTTCATGATCTATCTCTAAAAATTTTGATTTCTTCCAAATTTAGAAACTCATTTCTCCTAACTGATGTACATATAAGCTTATGTTTCACATATCCAAATCATATCAAACAATCATTTCTCATCTTTTTCTAATTTTGAACTACTCCTAATTTTTCTTGAATCTTTTATTTTTTTTAATTTTTTAATTTTTAGTCTTCCACAGATTCATCTAGGTATCTACATTTCAGCTACGCTCACTTTTTTATCATATTGTTTCATAACAACCCAACATTTAGTCTCATATAATAATGCAGACCTTATAATTATTTTATACAACTTCACATTTAATTTTAAAAGTATATTATGATCATATAACACATTTTACACACTTTACCATCTCATTTATCCTACTTGAATCCTATGATTTATATTTTTTTTCTTTTTCAATATCGCACTAGATAATTGATCTCAAATATAAAAAATAACTGCTTTTAATATTACTTCATCATTTAACTTAATTACACTAACACTCACTTCTTTATAATTACTAAACTTAAATTTTATATATTTAATTTTACTATCTTATATATATATATATATATATATATAACTCCTTGTGAAAATTTTGCGTTCAGGAATTGAAAAATATAGGCCTAAAACAAACAGTAACGAAACAAACGATCGATATTTATGTATAAAAATGTGCACCAATAAAACTAGTCAAGCAAGCTGTGATGTTTCTGTTTTACTCATGCAAGATTTACTAACTCTACCGACAAATTTGTACCGCAATGTAACTGGTCTTTGCCTGGTTACAGCCGTCGAATTTACTGTACGAACCGAGCTAGCTGAGACAGTTTAGTACTGTTAATTCTATGATATGGAAGAAGAAACGGCAAATTAAGGGGGCAGAGGAAATGAGAAGACTACACATATATCAATATTATTGCAGCCAAGTGGCCGATGGGCCCAACTCCATATGATTCTCAACCAAAATGTTGGGATTGGCCTGGTTCAAGTTCTTACTATCTTATTTCTAAAATTTTACCACCAGAAATGCCTTAAAATTAAACATTCATATCTTCAATATGTATATTGTAAAAATAAGATTTTTTTTTCTTTGTAAAATATTTTCTATGTCAAGGTGTAATTGAGTTGAACTAAATTGATACAGGTTCAATTCAATTCAATTAAAAAACTTGAGGTTTGAGTTTGGTTGAACTTTTATTTATTTGTGATTGAGCTCAATTAAAAAAATAATAAAGCTATTGATGATTTGGATTCAATTCGATTACCAATAATTTATACAAGGAGCTTGAGTTTAAAATAAGAATTTGATAAAATTTTAATTGAAATATGAAAATAAAAAATTTGTATTATATATAATATAAAAAAAATCAATAAACCCCATGAACCATTCGGATGGAGTACCATAAAGCTCTAATTTGGTTCGAATTGTTATTTGAATAGCTTGATAATGAGTTAATCAAATTTTGGGTGTTTATCGAGGATTATTCAAACAAAAGCAAGATCACATTGGTGCTTCGGCCTAAGGAGCTAGCCCCGTATGGGCCAGAGGCCCCTAAGGCACTTTTTTTTTTTTTTGGCCTTTTTTTTTTTATCTAAGCTTATAGCTGAAACTCCGATTAATATAAAAAAACTTCCAAATCCACATGAAACTCGTATTTATAAAGTGGAGTACCCAATCAACTGTCCAAGGTAAACCCCGTTACTTGGCTACTAATATATTTATCTATAACGTGGTACATGTATTATAATTTCATTAGGCAAATGAAATTCAAAGTTAATATCATTAAATAAAATGAATGGCGTGATTGTTAATTAATTATAATATAATATATAGTTTATTTTGTCAAATAATTTATCACATTATCATTTATTAAAAAATAAATGCATGAAGTTTACATGGTATCCATGTGTTATTTTTCAAAAAAATAAAAATTAATTTTTTTTCAATTTTATTTTCTTTCTTACTCTCTCCTTCCCTCAACTCTTTTCAACAATATCCTATCTTTCAAGCCGAATACACCATCTGCCAAGATGACATGATAAAATATGTCACGTGTTATTGTATGCTTAATTGCATTATTCATATAAGTTAACAGTATTAAAAATATAAATATCATATTAAAAAATTTAAAAGAAATTACTTTCACGCTTTCAAGCTTCCTCCCATTGTCCATCCCCCTCTCCCTTTCTCCTGAAACCAAATTCATATTTCGTTCAAACCTTCATTTTATTTTTTTTTTCTTTTGCCAACATAAAAGGCATAGCAAAGAAAGGAAAAAAAAAAAAAAAAAAAACAAATATTTGGACGGAAAACAATTCATTTGGGCTAGTTGATGATTTTTATTATCTTGGCAGCTTTCTTTGAAAACCCAATAAAGTTTCTTGATATTTACAAGAATTGCCAACCTCCTCTAATGATTTCTTTTTTTTGGCTAAAACAACAAAAAAAAACTTTTGAATTTTATCATTTTATTTAAATAAGTTATTATATTTTTATTATATTCAAATAAATCTTTAATCTTTAATCTTTATTCAAATAAATCTTTAACCTTTAATTTATATCCAAATAAACCATTTGCTTTTAATTTATAACTAAATAAATTCTTAACATAAATTAATTTGTTTGAAATAAATGTTTATTTAAATACAAATCAAAAAATAAAAATTTATTTGATTACAATAAAAATATAAAAACTTATTTAAAAAAATAAAATAATTCAGAGCCTTTTTAATTTAATATTTTAGTATTCATTCTTTTTTTGTTATTTGCTTGCCCATTCACTTCTTGCCCAAAAAGTGCTCTTCAAATTTTACTGAATTAGTATGCTATGAGATCCCTCCCTCCATCTCTTCCCCTACTCCAAAATGTCTTTATAAATTTAGGTTTTGATTTTAAGTTTAGGATTTTATGATTTTTTTTTTTTGTAAAAGTAAATATATTCAAAATTTTAAATATTTTATTCTTCACAAATGTTTAAAAAATATATATTTTGGAAAAGGAGATTGGACAGAGAAAGAGCCCTAGCTCTTGGGAGAGGATTTCAGTTTGTTCCTTCTTATTAAAAATTGTGAATTTTGGCTATTTTTCTGTTAGCATGATTTGTCATTTATCTTTAAGGTGGATTCCATGTGTACTAAGTACCTTTTTTAAGAATTAAGTTTAAAACTACTCTCCTATGAGAAATAAAATTATAGACTACCAATGTATATATTGTATATATTTCATATATGGTGAGTGAAAGAAAGTTGTCACCTCCTTAAGACAGAGAAAGGGCAAGAGCAAGCAATATGCCATAATTAATGTGCAAGGGACTTTAGACTTGTTAATAGGTCAGGCCAAGCCTTCTTGGCCTTTCAAAACGTCCGTCCATGGTTCGCCTCAACTCATTTTTTAAAAATAAATATTAAAATTTTAACGTTATAAATATATTTTAAAATTAAAATTACTTTTTATTAATTCAATAATGTTTTGTATTAAATTAAGTTAAGTTCTGATTAAAAAAATTATTTTAAAGATTTGATCCAAATCAAGTTGACCAATCGAATTAGACAAAAAAT